TCATCTCAGGACACCACCCACCCTTATTCCTTTCAAGTTTCTCAGAATACCTTTTCTCTACTCTCTTGACCTTTGCCCATGTCATTCCATCTTCCTGGAAAGTTCTGCCTCCAATCTCCTGGTCCGGCTAACCTTCCCATCTTTAGAGGCTACAACTTAGGCCTCTGTTCTTCCAGGAAGCTGCTCCCTTCCACCCCCAAGCCGCTGCCTGCTTACGTGCAGCCACCCCAGAACCTTATGGTGTCTGAGGACAGCATCCATCAATGCATCATTTTCCACTGAATCCTCAGCACTTTGCAGGCCACCCGGTGCATGACGTACGTGCTCTGTATTTGTTGACTAGAGTGGAACAAACAAACAAACGAAGGCCAGTAGCACAAGGAAGCTCAAAGTCAAAAAATCCAAATGACAAAGACAGTGTTTTCTGTTGTCTTTGTAAAGAAATACCGGGCATTGTTTAATCCCTCCTCTACATGAGAAAGGGACAGAAATAAATGTATTTACTAAGTGCTTCTCAGATTGAAAAGTCCATGTTTCTTCTCACCTGAAGGAAACGAAGACTCAATTACTATTTTTTTTCCTCTCTGCGACAGGCATACGTAGTAAAGCCATCCTCTAGCCCACAGGCCTAGAATGTGCTGATTTAGCATTGTTTCTGACCTCCTTTTCTTGTCTTTCTCCATTAATCCTACAGCATTTTAGTGTTTTAATTCAACACATAATTTTGCCATATCAGTCAGCCGGACCTGTTCAAGTTTCACTTGCCATGATAGCTTTTAACCTCTTATTCATTACCATAATTCCGTGTTTTATATTACAGACTGGTCAGCTTTTAACTTAAATGCAAGGGGCAGAAAAGAGTGCCGGAGTTTTAAAAGCTGTAAATCTCAGAGGCTAAGGAAGGGGGTGAACAGGAAGAAAACGGTGAATGTGTCAAGCCGGGCTGTAAAAGCAGATCAACGACACGCGGTGCAATTTGTCCAGAGAAATATCCCAGCCCGGGTTCTCGGCGGCATCAGTGTTACTAACGACCCGCTAGAATGTCAGCCGCCACTTTCCAGGGCACCCTGCGGGGCTGATGGGTGGCTCCGAGGAATCCCAGTTCAAATGCACTTGAACATTCTCATTCTTAACTTTTCAAAACTGAATGAAGCCTAGAATATTCTATGATGAGTTAATCTCTACTGTCACCTTGAAATGTAAATGCGCTTTAAGAAAACAAAGCAATTACCTTGAAAGGGTCCTGGTTTACAACGATAATCCATATGTATACTCTTGCCATTTGGGCTAAAAGTTGGAGCGGGTTCAACCAAGCTTTGTTTCTTACTCCCCTGAAAAGTTCACTGTCTCTGGACCATTGATGGACTTTAAAATCAGAGACTGTTGTTTTGTTTTGTTTTGTTTGTGGGGTTGTGTGTGTGTGTTTCATTTTGTTTGTGCTTGTGAACAAACAGTAGAGTTAGTAGGTACCATAGTCCAGAGGGCATTGGAACCATTCAAGCACCTTTATCTCACCAGCCTTGAACCCCTCCTTGGGCTAACTTCGGGCTCAGTGGAAGACTAAAGGGGAAGCTGCCTAGAAGGGGATTGCAGAAAGTTCTCTGCTTCAGAGAGCCTGAAGAGGCTAGCCATCAGGTGTCTGAACCACCACCAAGCTACCAACCTACCAATGCCAATGCCAAAGTCACAGCTCAATCCTTTGGCCAACAGATGTCCTTTTCACCATGTCCTTGAAGATACCCTCCGTAAACTTCTACAAAATGTTTCAAAAATTGCCTATGCATATACATATGTGACTTTTACTATCCGTACTTCTTTTTCTTAAATTGCATAATTTTCATTGCAAAGGGTGTGGGGATCTATAGTCGCCATACAGAAAAATCTCAAAATTAATCTCAAAAAGAATTTCCTCAGAGAGGCCACGGAGGGCTTTCTGGTACTCGCAGCAAGGAGTGATCCAAAAACGAAAATAAGAGACAGGTCTTAAGAGACATTCATGACTCATTCGCACTGTCAAAGAGTTTCTTCATGCAAAAGGGTATTTCCCCACCCCCGGGAGATGAAATAATTGAGCCTTCAAATGACAACAACAAAGAAAATGAAATGAGAAGGAAATAAGTGTGAAATTTAAAGTAAGGAGGACCGGTACGTAACAGGTCCGTGATGTGCCCATGCTGGTCCCGTGTCCTCTCTAACTCTGAGTAGCAGGAGGTATTTTACAGAAGGTCTGTCACCCCAATGGGGCGTTGGCTTCAGGGTAATGCTGTGTAGTCAGCTCCCAAGATATACTTTGGCTATCGTTTGTACCTCAGGAGAGGGCAAAGGAAAAGGATACCAAAAAAACAAGCCTCTAAAATCTGTGAAGAGGAAGGGCGCCGCGAGCCTCAGGACAAGTACATGGCTAAGTTACAAACAGGAAATCGCTAAAATAAACGAATAGTCCAATGACAAAACATGGAATGAAAGGGATGTTTTGAGTGATCTTTTGTGGCCGCGAAGAAACTTAACACTCATTTGGAAAAGCACTTCCTGTTGTGTGGAGGAACCACGGCAGCACAGTGTGAAATGAGGGGCGTAATTCCTCGCACCTCCTAAAATAACACGTGCGCCCTTCATTCCTGGAAGCCCAAATTCCCACTGCTCAGGTGGCGCTTTGGGACCCAGAATTCTCTGCGTCTGTGCACTGACGTCACTAACCCTTGCTCCGTGGACAAGCACAAAGTTTTTGATGCTCTGACCGTGAGTGTTGGGAGGGCACTGGTAATGTCACAGTGGTGACAAGTGTCAGAAGTAGCGGGAAATGTCAGAAGTGCCTCAGTTACCCTGTGAGGTGCAGGAGGAAGAGAGAAGACCAGGCTCGAGACATCTGATGGGCAATATCTGGAAAATGACCAGGGGGAGCCCTCCTGCAAGAGCCGGAGGGTGACAGGACCTCGTTTGCTATCTGAAAGCACCAACCTGAACCATGAGGTTGTCAATACAGCAATGGCTGCCAGCTGTGGGATCAGCACAGTGTTGGGGACAAGTGGGCCACATAAAAGACTGTGGGCAGTGCCACATGGGGGCTAAAAGAGCTGAGGTCTCAGCTGGTGACACACTGTTTCCCTAGGGCGTGTCTGGATACGTGTGATACAATGTGGGTGTGCCCTGTGTGTGTGTCTTCCACACAACGACTGGGGAAAGAGATGGGTATCCAGAATCAGGTGGCTGAGAGCCGGATTTCCTAAACCTTCTGTGACATGCCCGTGGGACATGGCGTCTCTGCTGAAGAACACCAGAGGAATGTTTTATGAGTACCAAACCCCCCACCCATCTATCTCAGGAGAGCTGCTGAAGAGGGATGGGGTGATGACAGAAAGAGGGTCAAACACTCCGTGTGTCAGACACTGTGCTCAGTATTCTACACAGAAGAAGCAGTGTACAAGGTACTGGGTAAGCTGGAGCTGGTCCCATTTCTGCCTCTAAGTTCCCTGCTGACAGAAAGATAGTCACTTCCCTGGGCCTCTGCCCTTCCTTGTCAGTGACACAAAGGGGTTATATTAGAGGAGTCCATTTCAGTGTTTAGATTTCAGCGAGAAGACTTCCCCTGCATTAGAACCCCGAGATGACAGGCGACAGCTGAGCTGCTCTGGCTTCACCCTAGACATTTTAGCAGACTCTCCATTCTCCAAAGGGTGAGCCCAAGGCATCTCTCTGAACCCAAGTTTCCAGAATCCTCGGTTTGGAAAAGATGACAAACAGCTGTTGAGAGCCCTTTAAACATTGATAGTCCAGGTTTGAGATGTGTGTACAAAGTGTACGTATATGTGATGAACAGAAGACAGTGGTTCGGTGGAAAGAAATTGGTCTTCGAAAGCATGGAATCCTAGCCCTGGCTCCACCCCCACTCTGAAGTCCATGATCATGTCATTTGCAAACTTCTTGTATTCTCTTCCATCATCTACAAAAGGGGAATAATGCTGCCAAATTGTAGGGCTATTTGAAAGATCAGAGATGATGTCTACTTCCACCATGATCTCCGTCATGCTTACTATGGGCCAGCCATGGTGTAGGTATGGTCTCATTTAATGGCATTACTACAATCCTGTAAGAAAGCTGTAATATTCACACCATGCCCACTGTGTAAAGGTGAGTCCCTTGTGTGAGATGGAAGGGTGCAAAGTAAAAAAAAAAAAAATAGAAGAAAACAGACCTCGCCTCAACAGGTTTCATTATGGTTTGCCACACAGCTCATCAAACACATTGAAAACTTTCCCATCAAGACACCTATGTTCATATTCTTACTAAATTATACGGTAGTTTACTAAGTAGCAAAACCAAAATTACAGGGTATGCTGGAAATGCACGCAAGTTGATTACTGAACAGCCCAGGGGCCACATGTGCTGATGACCCTCCACAGTGAAAAATCTGCATCTAACTGTTCACTCCCCGCCGAAACTCAACTACTACATAGTACCCTGTTGACCAGAAGCCTTACCTTACCGATAGGGTAAACAATTAACACATATTTTGTATGTTATCTGGGTTATAGACCATATTCCCACAATAACTAGAGAAAAGGAAAACGTTTTTTTCCTTTTTTTAACCTTCTTAAGGAAGAGACAATACATATATTGCACTGTATTTACTGAACAACCAATGCATATAAGTGGACCCACGCAGTTCAACGCATGTTGCATCAAGGGCTGTGTGGATAAACACTTCACAGACAGTCTGTGATATCACAGTCACAGTATCTGTTTTTTTTTTTTAGAGAAGGTCCAACACATAGGATTTTTTTCTGTTTTCATCAATATTAAATGACATTTATCAATTAAAAAAAAAAACAAAATAATGTTTGCCCCAGGTTCAAGTCCAGCTGACATATGGCTCCTGGGGTAGGGATATATAAGGTCTTTACTCTAAGCCCACACAGATATAGACATTGCCCCTGAGCAGCTCCACGCAGATGCGAGCTGCACACGCGTCTCCCACGAGTTAGAAAGCAGAGCAGACTCACGTGCCCAAGCGTTCCTCGTGCTTTCTGCTGTCCTTTCCCCACACTTCAATGTCCAAAATGCCCATCCTGTCAGAGAAGTAGTGAAAGTCAAACTGTTCCCGCCACTGCGGATTTTCACTCTTACACAGTGTCTAGAAAACATGCGGTTATGATATTTACTTTCTCAAAATGCCATTCATCGCTAAAGCAGCTACATACATTCATGTCATTGCTACACTCCAGGAGATCATGACGATGTGCCTCCCCCTCGGAAAGGTCAACTTTCCATTTGGGAACGAAAGGGACTTTGAGGTTTCGGGAACTGGCAAAACATCGCTACCCTCTTAGCTCACCCCCAGATTCAGTCATTTTTCCAGCAAGTTAAAAAAAATAAACCCACAAGAAATTACCCCACCAGGAACCATAAATTATATAGATATTATATACATATAAAGCATATCTCAATAGACATTTACAGTTGCTTTCTCTTACAAAAGATACTACGGACTGGTTGACCGGATGCAAGTTAAATTTTTATTAGTGCATCCACTCAGTGCTGGCTTAAGAAGTATACGAATGAGCAGTTTGAGGTGTTAATTAACATCTGCCCAATGCATTACATGAGAAACCCATAACTTGTACATTTCAATCCGAGTTTCCAGAATCCAGTCACTGGTGTGGAAGACTAACGAAGGCTCACTCTTGCCCCGCCGCAAAATGAATCAGCATGGTTTGAAAATTCCACAAGTTTCTGTGTTCTCCGATCGTGTGTGTTTGATCAAGTAGCAGCATTTTCACTTTTGTTTCATTTACACAGAGGTTTCATTTGTGAATAAAAATGAGCAAGAATCGTGGGCACTGACTATCAGGCTCGAAAGACACCGTGTCAACTATGAAATCCTAGAAATCCTAGTGCCAAACTCCTACTGCAAGGGGAATCAGGGATAACTCAGATGTCAGCTGTAGCCTAACATCACATAGTATCATTTCAGCTGTTTTTCATATTGAGCTTAATATATCAGATCACAGACTTTAGAAAACCCGGGAAAAAAAATATTCGACCACACAAATTAAACGTGATATTCCCCAAGGGGGAATGTAGCAAATACCGGACTAATTCTGCACTTCACCTTAGCCCAGAGGGCTAAGTGTACTTAGCGATGAATAATTTTTCTTATAAATCCGTAGCCTGACCCTGGCTGGCTAAAAGAACCTTTGTAGAGAGATGTGTCCACTCTGGACACGGTCACTGTGAGGTACAGCCTGAAACTAGCTGGTTAAAATAAATGTCTGCATATTTCAGCTGTAACCTGCCCTGATTTTTCATATTTCTCTAAAATGATTCTCCGGTGTGAGCTTTAATTCTTTATTCCTTGTGGTGGGGCAAATGATGTTTAATGTTTGACTCTGCACTTAGAAGTATGCAGTAGAAACCATCTTCTACCCCCTAAATCATTTTCCAAATGCATATGTCTTCATCTGTTAAGGACCCTACACTGGAAAACCCGAATTGCAAATATCCTCAGGTCTGTTTTCAAAATTGTCTACCGATGTTTTGTTTGGTTTGTATTTTTTCTTCTATGTAGCTTTGGGCAAGTGACTTAACTTTCAAGGACCCTAGTTACCCCCATCCATAAAACCTAGGAAATATTCCTGTCTGACGGTTATGTAAAACGAATTAATTACCATGGCATGGAGACTATGGTTTTTGAAATAAAAACCACACCAAATTACTAAGATTAAAAAATTAAGTGGAATTTGTTTCAGGAGAACAAGATGACTGATTTTTAAAGACAGCTACAAACGCCCTTACTTTTGTTCCAAAAAAACCCACTAATACTCTAAAAACAAAATCACACACAAAAAAACCACATCAAATGTCTGTCTGTTTTTGTTGTTAATACCAGCAAGTAAGAAAAAGCAAAAAGTAGATGGCTTTGAGAATTTTTTACTTTTCTCACATGTTTTCATCTAAATATATTACACTATTTTATTTTTGTAGGATTTTGAAAATCTGCATTTATCCCTTTCCTGCAACCTATGAAACGCAGCTTGTGTATTTTTAAAACAAAAACGAATCACACACCCAAATCTCTTATTTCATAAGCTTTCTCTAGCACCAGTTAACTATATGAAAATAAATTATGCTAAGCAACCAAATAGGTGTATCAGTGGACTGCAGCTACGGGATTATTTTTGTGGTCTGGGATGCTTCTAATAATGTTACGAGGGCTCGAAATAAAACTCTCCTCTTCTTGTGAATGTTAGAGTGGAAAACATTTTCTTTTAGTCAGTCTTTTTGTTACAAAAGGGATGCTTCTTCTTCGGGCATTGGTGGAACTTACCTTACTTTTATACCTCTGGTCTCCCAGTTTTAACTGGACAAACATCTCTGTCATGCTTCCTCCTGAGACGTTCTTCCCTTCCAACAAGGTTATACTTATAATTCCGTTCCACAACTGGTTCTTTTTCAAGGACTCTGCGAGTCGCAGGTTGCGAATCAAAGAGGACTAAGGCAAAGAAAGAAGAGGGTGTATCAGCTTGCTGACCATTCTTGAGTGTGACTTTGGTGATTACAGACATTCCAGCTCTCCACATGGGGCTTGGGAAAGCACCCCCTGGTTGCTGACAGTGTTACTAGTCTTCGTGGATTTTGCAAACCTGCTCAAGCACTAGGCTCCTAACAGTATAGTGAAGGATGATTAGGAACAACATTTGGATTTGGCCCTGGCCTGTCCTCCCCACCCAGACGTGCCCCGTGATAGGAATTCTTCATCTGGGCCTTCAGCTATTTTAATAGAAGAAAGGGAAGAAAGGCATGCTGGGAAATGGAGAGAGAAGAGCAAGACATTGCTCTGCAGGGAGAGAAAGCACCTCTGGGCATTTAGGAATAATGGTTTGGAATTTATCCTTCACACCCAAATCTGTCCACACTTCCTTTTTATTCCTTGGGCTACTACTAAAAAGCCCAACAGCGCTGTGAGATTCACAACTCCAGATACAGCCTGCGATCAGCCGGCCGGCCAAATGAGCTTTGCAGATCTGCAGGGAGGGGAAGGATGTACAAAGTCCTCAGCACAGCACCCGGGATCCGGGAGAGATTCGGTAACTGTTAACTTATTTTTTTTCCCTTTTCTAAATTGTATTACTCATGCATACTCACACATACCTTAAACAGAAATATAGAAAAAAGCAAACATCCCCCGTTATTAAATTATAAAAAGGACAAGCACACTTTATTTATTTTTAATTTCCATTATGTAAATTTTCAAACGCGCACAAAGGCAGAGAGCCTGGTATAAACCTCCGCATATTCATCCACCTGATTCCATATTTTACCAATCTGATTTCAACTATCCCTTCACCCTTTATCTCGGGCTGAAATATTTGAAAGCAAAATACGTATTTGTTTTTACCGGAGCAACATGCCATGATCACACTCCACAAAAGTAACCATAATTCCCTCAGTATCATTAAATACTCAGCACAGAGTCACATTTCCCTGAAGGTCCCCACCATGTCTTTTGTTATGGTTAGTTTGTTTGAACGAGGATCCCCACATGATCCACAGAAAGTTGATCTACGTTCCCCACTCAATAAGTGAAACGATAGGAGCAGAGTCTGCTTTATTTGAAGGAGAAATAAATGGACTGAAGAATGTAAATGGCATAAAGTACCATAGTAGAGCAATGAATTTCGAACACTATATATTCATTCCTGTCATCTACTCAATATATCTTCGAGATCATTCAGACACCAATTTGCTCGGACACCAGTTAGTCACAATTTATCACAACAAATGGTATGTTGGTACCGTATTAATTATATACCAGCTTACCTCATCCAACACATGTCACTCCGCCACTCTTAATAAATGGTGCAGGGATACCACACCAAGCAGCGGATCATTTTATGACTACTTTAAGCAAAACACATTTAAGGATGTGTCTCAAACTTCACATCTGTGTTGCTCTTCTCTTAAAATGCACATGCGCGTGTGTGTGCACACATACACACACACACACACGTTTCCGAAGTGCTGAGACAGAGCAGAGAGGCGGCATGAGAAAATAACTCATTTTAAAAAGAAAAAAAAAAATCCCTCTCCTCTGGAGAACATGAACAATTCTTTCTTAACTTCTATTTCCAATTCTGTCACGGAATATATCGAATATATCGAACATATTCAATACAGGAACTTTATGAAAGAACAGACGTTAAGTGATTTCGTGTTTATTAAAAAATAACACAAGCCGTCACAGTATAGAAACAGACACGTATATAAACATATCTGCATATGTGTTTATAAATTTATGTTTGAGAAGATAGATGTGGATCCACTGCATACATCTGATAGCTTATTAAGTATACGGGCTGAAAATTTCTATCTTTAAAAGGAACATGAGATTTTGATTCATCTATCTGGCTACAATCCCCGTTTCCCTTTTTTTCCTTTCCTCTTCTTAAAGTTTGACTTGTGAACCAACAAGCTAAAGCATGACCTGTCCCATGGCCATGCTTCAAAGTTCCGACAGATATATTCCTCCCTAAACACTGCAACTATTTCAAAATCCTTTTTATAAAGAAGGGAGTAATGTCCACACGGGATCAAAGGGCACCCTCCAGTCTGGCAACTGCCTAAGAAAAATGGCAGGCTTTCCATGAAATATGCCCTAAAATAATTTTGTGGCTTGCTCTGTCCTAATTTCAAATTGGATGTTTATCTTGGAAAGGCTTCTATCTAACTTGTCCATAAAACAGCCCCACTTAGCTCTATGAGCTGTGTGAAAATGGAATCCAAAGCCGGTTATTAAGAGGGCCGAGAGATAGGTTCCATATGGCGAAGCAGCATGGGAGGGCAAGGCGAGGGCCTGCATCAGGCGCGGCTTGGCTGAATCTCCTGATCTATCCACAACGCTCGTTGCATTATGGCGGAACATCTGGATTATTGCTCGTAATGTCCCTGGGAAATATCCACTTTCCATCAAAGCCTTTATCTATCTCAGATGGACTTTGAACATTTTAGTATTTAACGCAGTCATGTTTGATGTGACGGGCTTGCTCTTTGCTGTCCAAGATTCCCCCCCCCCCCCCCCACTAAAGGCAGAGTAGGAAAAGTAAGCTATTTGTTGCAGAGTTCACAGATAGAAAAGAACACAAGGCCTTTATTCTACTTGTTTCGTCCTCAATCCTTCTGCAAAACCCACATTTGGGTGATGTCCAAATAAAGTTGCACATCTACAGCAACATGTTCTGGAGTCTGTGTGTGTGTGTGTGCTTTAAGGAAGTGTCTTAATTACTTTAACGTATGTCTTTGGCCTTGAGGGTAAGTAGGTGACGAGGTTTCAGAGCGGAGCTGGTGGGAAGGTGGGGGGTGGGTACTGCCTGGGCCATCCCGCGTGTGCTCTGATGCAGAGGCGGGCTCCCCAAATCTGCTGTGCTCTTTGAACAATCCCTTTCTCCCCACAATAAATCCACTCCTCTGCACTCACCCTGTTAGCTCCACAGCTCAGGGTTTCATGTCTGTGTCTGAGCCCATAAGTGAAATTTGTCATCTTAATGCAGCCTGGAATGTGAAGGGAGACAAGGAAATGACCCATCAAAGGAGAAACCCACCCCACCTTAGCTGAAACAAACACCAGGAGATAGAGCAAAGTTTCTGGGTCCTGACCCTAATTTCTCAGCCGACATAAAGGATAAAATATAGTACATCAGGGTTTTGCTATTTTTCTCCTTCCTCCCAAAGGGATCAGACCTTTTACTATTTCTATGTTGTTTCATTCATAGGCTCTCTCTCTCTTCCTCGGCCCCCACCCCACCATACCCATACCCTTCTTCTGAACAGAAATCATGACTTCCATCTGAAGCACACATGTTAGTTATAACCAGTGAATATGAGGTATGATACTTATTTTTTATTTATTTATGTTTTAATTTGAGAGAGAGAGAGAATCTCAGGCAGGCTCCATGCTCAGTGTGGAGCATGACTCAGGGCTCCATCCCACGACCTTGGGATCATGACCTGAACGGAAATCAAGAGTCAAATACTCAACCAAATGAGCCACTCAGGTGCCCCTGCAGTGTGATATTTAACTTTGGAACATACTGACTTTCATAAAAAGGAAAAGCTGCAGACACAATTTACTTCCAGGTCATGACAATCCTGAGGACAAGGAAGAAAGGGGGGAAGCAGGGGAGCAAGACTGAAGGTAAGAGCTGTAGACCTTCTACTCCCAACAGGTGGAGAATCTTCACAAGTTTCCCATCTAGGAATAGACTCTCAAAACAGAAAATGGATTGCCATTCCTGGGATGTATAAAATGGGTTACAGCTTAGCCACATGCATTATGTGAGGATTTGGGCCAAGTGGCATGCTGGGAAGATGACGACATGGCCTCCAGTCTCTTGGCACAGCTTGCAAAAGAAAACCCAGAAATGACAGACGTGTCGGCCAAGTGCCTCCCCTCTGCCTTGGGCCAGGAAGAATGACAGGGAGCTTAAGAGTTCAGAAGGAGTTTGGAAGGGGTAGCCCGCAGTCCAGGAGCCAGGGCCACGGCCTGTGGCCATCGAAAGCCACGTCACCGCTAGCTGCCCCACAGGCTCTGCTGACCAATACCGCAAAGTCATTATCCAAAGTACTCCCTTGGGTATAACAAAATACCAAACAAAAAATTTTTAAGAGACAGAAATGAAAAATAAGGGGAGGTGAAAAATGTTTTTTCAAGATTTTTCTAGGAAGGCATACCTAACTAGGGGCCAAATACCGCATGGATATTTTTTCTATTGTCTCAGTTACTGGAATCTAAAGCTATGTGTTCCAATGCCACCAATGGTCCTATTTTGACTCTCATGAATTAGTTTCCCTCTGTCACTGTGAGAAAGGAGGTGTCAATGGAAACAGAGGCACCGGGATGGCGGGGCGGGGGGGGGGGGTGGGGAAGTAACTCACTTTGTAAGCAAAATGAACAATAAAACAAGATTCAACTCTGCTAGGCATTGCTTAAGAAAACCTATGGAAGAACATTCAGTCTATAAACGGTTTCCCTGAAATATTTCTTCCAAGCATTTTTAACATGTAAAACAACTGTTCATTGTCAACAGCTTTTATAGCAAGACATGAGAAGGTCCATACGCTCATCCAACAGGCTCCCAGATTAGCGCCTTTTCGGTGGCTTCTTATATCATCCGAAGAGGGTCCTGTAGGCATAAATTCTCCTAGAACTTACACAAAAATCTTTGTCTAAGGATATAAAGAAAGCCTTTTAAATCTCCCACATGGACATGGACCATGAGATTTATACTGTATGGGAAAACTAGATGATAGTCCTGAGGATAATGAATAATCAGTAGGTTGTACAGACATATTAGCTATAAATGTTTTATAGGAGATTTAATATTTTTTTCATTGTGAAGAAATAACATTGCTCCATTTTTGCACTTAAAAATAAGAATTAGATTAAGATTTTTTTTAAAAAAATGATCGAATCTATAAATACCCACTTCTTATGGC